AAAAAAAAAAATCGCGAAAATCGACTTTTCGATACATGGAATCGATGCGTCTCGACGAGATATAAACGAATATGACCTTATTTTTGCGCTAATAAACTATATAAGGTTTGAGTATACATTTACGAGATAATTTTTCCCCAATTTGTTGAACAATTTTTCGCATTTATAAATGTGAATTCATTTTTTTCATTCCGTCCTTCGGTTGTCTCTTGTCTCTCATATCCCCACTCCTGGAATTATCGACACTCGCGTTTGCTGGTCTTTCCGAATTATCGCCACTCTCGGGCTCGCACTCTGCTTTATCTATACCCACGCCCTCCGCAAATTACCGACACTCTTGCCCTCGCGACCTGTTTGATTCACAGGTACACCCGCAAAATTAGTTCCGCCGGTACCGCTAGGAAAGTTCGCGGTTATAGCTTCGCCATTGGCGTTAGCAATCTCCCCTATAATCTCTGGGTAGACACCTCAGCTCTCCGCGTTTCGCCCTCTCTCTCTTGAGGTGAGGTACTAGGATGCGAGTCACTAAATGCGGGTCACTAAAACCCCCAGAACTGAGCCTCTACTTTAGTCCATCCTCTTTGATCCTAGACCTCTACTCAAATGACCTTTTTTGTTTGAGTGAAAGACCGCCAAATATTGTTGACATCTTAAACACGAGTAGAATTTAATAACAAATCTGTGATTTTCAAAGATCACCCTAATTGCTTCGATGAACTAATGAGTGTTTCTCTAAAGATGTTTATGAACTGTCCTGTTGAAAATCGGAGACAATCATGGCTTAACCTCTAAAGGAAGTATGCGGTTTCGATTATTCAGAATTTGTCTGAGAATCAGAAAAAATTTTGAGGGATACGCCAGGGGATTTCACCTCAATCCCTCAAATTGTGAGAGAAAGTGTTCAGAGGAAGTTATGAAGGTGTTGAATGTTGCTGAGAAAAATGATGCAGCTAAGAATATCGCTGGGTTGTTATCCAGAGGTGCATCGAGACGAAGAGAAGGCTTATCAAAATTCAACAAAATCTACGAATTCGAGTGTAATTTATGGAATCAGAACTGCAAGATGGTGATGACCTCGGTCTCGGGCCATTTATTAAATCACGAATTTTTGGGATCATACAGAAAGTGGCACGGATGTCATCCTCTCTCGCTTTTCGATGCACCTGTAGCAAAACAATGTTTAGACGATAATTACGTGAAGATAAAAAATACAATCGAAAGGGAAGTGAGAACCTGCGGGGCTCTGATCATCTGGACCGATTGTGATAGAGAAGGAGAAAATATTGGATATGAGATCATCCAAGTGTGTCAGGCTGTCAAGCCGAATATCAGAATTTATAGGGCTAAATTCTCCGAGATCACAGCAACATCGATAAATCGAGCGATCCAAACCCTGGGGGAGCCGAACAAACAAGTAAGTGATGCAGTGGACGTTCGTTCAGAACTGGACCTCCGAATAGGGGCAGCCTTCACTCGATTTCAAACCATGCGCCTGCAGAAAGTCTTCCCTCGTACCCTCGCCGAGATGTTGATAAGTTACGGAAGCTGTCAGTTTCCAACTCTGGGATTTGTCGTCGAGAGATTTCTGGCCATCGAGCGATTCAAATCCGAGCCTTACTGGAAGCTCAAGGTCAGCGACAATCATGACAACATAAACGTCGACTTCCGCTGGGCTAGGCACAGATTATTCGAGAAAATTCCATGCCAGGTGTTTCTGGACATGTGCCTGGAGAATCCAGACGCTAAAGTAGAGAAGATCACGACGAAACCTAAGAGTAAATGGCGTCCAGTGCCGCTGGATACTGTGGAGTTGGAGAAGCAGGGGTCGCGGAAGCTGCGAATGAATGCTAAGGAGACGATGAAAATTGCGGAGAGACTGTACACCCAGGGGCTTATCAGTTATCCAAGAACTGAAACCAATATTTTTCCACAGGGGTTGAACCTTCAACCCCTCGTGGAACAGCAGATGAATCATCCCGAGTGGGGGAATTTTGCTCAACGAGTACTCAATGATGGAATTACCCCTCGACAAGGAAAGAAAAGTGATCAGGCCCATCCCCCCATTCATCCCACAAAATTCAGCGATTCACTCCAGGGGAATGAGGCGAGAGTCTATGAGTTTGTGGTGAGGCATTTTCTTGCCTGCATCTCGAAAAATGCTGAGGGATTTGAGACGACTGTTGACATTGATATTGCTGGCGAAAAATTCACGACAAATGGACTGCAGATCATTGCGAAAAATTATCTGGATGTCTATATTTACGAGAGGTGGAATGCCAAGGAGATTCATCTTTATGAGGAGCAGCAGGTCTTCAGGCCCACGGACATATCAATGGTCGAGGAGAATACCTCTCCTCCGAACCTCCTAACAGAAGCCGATTTAATTGCACTTATGGATAAACATGGAATCGGCACTGATGCAACCCACGCCGAGCACATCGACACGATAAAATCACGTGAATACGTGGGTATGCGAGATAACCAATATCTCATACCTGGAAAATTGGGCATTGGTCTGGTGATGGGATACGACAACATGGGATTCCAGATGTCGAAGCCCAACCTCAGGGCTGAGCTTGAGAACGACTTGAAACTGATCTGCGAGGGGCAAAAAACACCCCAGGAAGTTTTACAGACTCAAGTCAATAAATACAGAGAGGTCTTCAGAGTTGCACTGAATCGTGCGAATTTAATTGACACAGCCCTGTCTGAGTATCTGGACGAGAGGCCGAGTAATGCTCCTGAGCTGGAGATGACAGAGCCTCCTGAGGAGGTGACGGTATTCAAATGCCCCAAATGTGGATGCAACATGACTCTGAAGGACAAACGACAAGGGATGGGAAAGTACATTGGTTGCATGGGGTTTCCAGGCTGCAACAATGCCATTTGGTTCCCCGATAGTGTGACTGCAGTGGAAGTTCTTCCAAACACCTGTAACAGGTGTCAGGGTTTCAGGAAGTTGAAGGTGAAAATTCGACCTGGTGCTATTCTATTACTGGGCAATGAAGTGGAGACGTGTATTGGGGGTTGTAATCAGATGTTCAATGAGATCATGGGAATTCGAGAGGCCTGTATCAGGAGGGGAGCTGGTCTTCCAGACAGTGGATATGGGACCAGTCAAAGATCTACGCAGGAATCTGCATCAAGTGCCCCTGCAAGATTGTCAAACGAAAACACTCGGCTTGCACCAAGACTTCCACCTCCACGTCCTCCAAACCCCCAGGGGCCCAGAAGACCCCCAGAAAATCCCAGAAATAAAAAACGCACTAATGACGAGGGGCCTGATCCCCCAGGCTCCAAGAAACCCAGAGTTGCAGCTCCCAGATCGGCCAGCACCTCCCGAGACAACTCTTCCTCCTTCGTATGCAATTGTCATCAGCCAGCACTGCAACTCACTGTACGAAAGGACGGGCCGAACCAAGGGAGACTATTCTACAAATGCTCCAAACCTCAAGGCACTGGCTGTGACTTCTTCCTCTGGGCTGACGATGGAGATCATGGACAGGCTGATCAAAGAAATCAAGCACCACCACCACCCAGAGTGAGTAATAATGCGAGAAGAATCGACGACTGGGACCCTGCCCCACAAGGTGGTGACGGAAATCAACGTCAAGGGGATGATAATGCCCCTCGGTGTCAGTGTGGAGAGCCAGCGAAGAAACTGACTGTCAGGAAAGAGGGGCCTAATCAAGGGAGACAGTTCTGGGGCTGTCCTCAGGGGATGGGGAGTTCTTGTAAATTTTTTGAGTGGGCTGATGACGATGGGACGAATAATTCTGGGGGATTCGGTGGCGGAGGAGGGGGTGGCGGAAGAGGCGGAAGAGGAGCAAGAGGTGGCAGGGGTGGACGAGGTGGCAGAGGTGGAACCGGTGTCAAGAGAAAATGTGGTGTCTGTGGGGTTGAGGGTCACACGAAGAGGACTTGTCCGGAAAATGCCAATTCACATCACTAGTCCATATTTAGTAGTTTATTATTTGTACAGAGAGTAATTTTATATCACATTTTTATACGCCCAGTGCCTTAATCAAGAAAAATTGTGATAATTGTTGATAATTATTTTCGAAATCGCGATAGTTGTTTCTTGAGAGTGTCGATTTCGCCTTTTTGGTGCTCTGCTTCAACTGTTGTCTCTGTGATCTGTAAAAATGGTTTACGAAGTCGATATTTTATTTATTGACTTTGGTGTCTCGAGGAGGACGGATTTCGGGAACGTCGGGAACTTCTTACCATATCTAGGAGCAGATCGAATTTTATCTTCAATAAATTATTTTCTTCTTCAAGTCGTCGAACTTCTTTTTTCAATTTCTCATTCTCTCTGAAGGTACCCCCTACTTTTCCAGTTTCTGTGATAAATTTTGTATTGAATTAATAACAATAGTAAGGAGATGAACAATATTCAGCTGTGAATAATTTACCAGGAATCCAATTGCCGCCATCGAATGTCGCTTCCTGTTCCCCCAATCGAATCCTAATCGACCCAATATCCGATCCAAGTTCTCTCTCAATTCTTTTAGGGCTCAAATCCTTATTAGCCAGTGATATTGATGCTTTTCTAATCGGTGTTTTTTTCGGAGAGAATTTATTCGTGAAAAACGGCATTTTATTCATCAACATAAACTTTCACAGACCAATGCTTTCCACACCTTATCACAATTGAGTAATTGTCCACTCACAAACGAATAATTCTAAACACAGAGGTGGTTTCTGACATGAGCTTGTTTATAAACACAAGTAGAATTCCTTGAAAACACAACAAAAACGTTGAAAGTATTCCGATTTCCAGCGTAGCGTCGCTAATATCGACTTCCGGTTCATATCCTGCCACGAAAATAAAAAATCATGACGAAAACAGGATTTTCGATTATAAAAAGATGAATCATGTGAATTTTAATGAAAATTTCTTCAGAGACAAAATAATAAATTGATTAAATCCTCATGAAATTAAATAACAGAATGAAGAATTGAATCCCAGTATATTCCGGAAGTTCTCGAGCTGCCCCGAAAACCCCCGAAGTGCGAAATAATTCAATATGGCCGTGTAACCCCTCAATGGTGTTTATTCATTTGAACATGCGGTCATCATTAAACCGGTAAAATTAGTATAAACAATTTCCCGAGAATTTACAGTATCAGAAAAACCACAAAGAATAATGAATATATTGTAATTTTTAAGGGATCACCCGACACTTGAGTGTGGCCACCTGACACACGATACAAGTACGTATTTTATCTCAAACGATACCCCAACGTACCTCATTCTTAACCTGAACACAAAAGAGCATCTATACAATTATTCATTTATTTTTGTGTTCTAGGATGGATGAGTACTGTCCATTGTGTCGTAAAGTGGGTAGCTACAAAAAAATAAGGGCTGTACAGTTGAATTATGTTGAGGCAGTTTGGCTGTGCGAAGAAGAAAAGGTGAGTGGATTTTTTTATTACTTTGAAAAATGTATTTTTTCAATTTTCGCCATGTCGTGACCACAATGTGTGGAAATACTTCAAAAGTACAAGGAAAATTATTTATCCATGAGATAATTGATGATATTGTCAACAAATTCATTGTGTTCCAGCAAGAATCACGTTTTTATTCCTTTTTCAGTGCCCCTGGCCCTTCGGCTACGAGGAATTCAGGTTCACTCCGAGGAGGATCGAGGAACTATCGACAAAATACATTCCAAGGACTGGATCTTGTAAAAATAAGGAATCCACATCGATCTCCACTGAATTGGGGGTCTACACACCTCCCGTGACTCCCAGCAACGAGAGCTCTTCCAAGGATAGTGGAAAAATCGATAATTTGAATTCATCAAGTCCAATCACGTATCCTTTCACCGGTAAAGTAAGCCCGATCTATAGGTCTGGAACAGTCCTCCCAATTCATTCGATCAAAAACGAGAATTGTCAGACGCTCAACGAGAACACCTCAGTCTCGAGTATATTTGATATTGATAGTTCAGTTCCAGTGGGAAAAATTGCAACTGTAACGATCCAACAGGGGAGAGGATCGCCCTCGTGCAATGGTAAACCTATAAAAAAAGATCCTAAGCCTCGAATTCTCAAGAGAAAAATGAAACCTGTCCCTATGATTAGATGTATCGAGACTATTCCCAACAATTTAGTCAAGATCGAAGTGAAAGAGGAGTTATTACATAATTTAGAAATGCCTGCAATGGAAATTAGTCCGTCAAAAGTTAATTGTGAGATTCCTAGAAGTGTAACGGCTACTCAAGGGACCATGATACTTCAAACTAGCAATTTGGAAAATTTTAATTTAATATCTGACGTACCAAAGACGACTTCCAAAGTCTCAAACGAAATTGATGAAAAAATTACTGTAAAAAAAAATTACGATTTTTCGGATCAAATAGCAGAGAACAATACTCTGCAATCGGATAATTACCTAGAACTAATGAACTTAGAGGGAGGAAATAGTGCCATGGATAATTCTGGTCAAGGGAGCCTCAATGGGATTTTTGAGGAATTATTGATGGAGAATTGCCAAAATGTGACTCAGGAAATTGATGACGACTGGCTCAAGTCAATGCTGATGTAATTTAAAAGTTGATCAATTTTTTATTGGAAATTGGAATACAGTAACTCAGGAATCGCGAAGGAATTATCTTAAGTTTTTTTTCATTCCTTCGTGAATTTCTGCCCTACTAAAATTGAGTTAGGTAAATTGTACAAAATGAGAGTGGGGCTCTCTGAGTGTTTCAGGGAATAGAAATCTAAGAATTTTGTACACTGTATTTTTCCAATGAGACTAATTCAGTGAGTGTGAGGAGATTGAGTGCATCATTCAGCTTTCCACAATTTTTAATTACGAGCTTCATTACTATTTACATCAAATATTTACATGAGTATTTTTAACCCACTCCACAGGCTTGAGATCAGTATTCAATTCTAGTAAATAGATTATCAGTTTACGAGAAATTCTACTTTTCCGTAGTTGAAACGTGTGAGACGTGTGTAAATAAATATTGTTATGAATTATTTCGCCTTCACGATCAGTCCTGCGGGGTTTTATATTTTTTCAATAACAGAAATTGAAAGAACTGATAGAAAAAATAATCAATTCTTAATGTTATCAACTAGTGATTTACGTATCATTTTTAATGTTATCATTGTCTTCTGATATTGGCCCAGTGGTTTTATGCTTTCTCTCATAATGCTTCATTAAATTTCCTTTCTGCGTGAACTTCAATTGACATAATCCACAGGGAAATGGTTTCTGACCGGTATGAATCATGACATGTTGTTTGAGATTATACAGAGAGTAAAATGCCTTAGAACAAAAAGCACATTTGTGAGGTCTCTCAAAGGTGTGATACCTCCTAACATGATCAGTCAATTCCGACAGTTTCCTGAACCTCTCATCACAATGATCACATTTCCTCGGTTTTCCACCCCCATGTCCCGCCCTGTGCAGTACCATTTCCTCATGCTCATGAAAACTTCGTCCACAGACTCCACAAGTGTGGGGCTTCATCCCCTCCTTATGAATTTTCAAATGTTTTGTTTTATTCGCTTTTTGCGAGAATTTTTTCCCACAAATTTCACAGACATAGGGCTTGTCACCAGTGTGAACTCTCTCGTGCAGCTTCAGAGCTACCAATTGGGCGAAAGATTTGTCGCAGATTTTGCAGGCAAACGGTTTCTCACCTGTATGCGTTCTCATGTGTTTTTCTATGTCGCTGGGACGAAGGAAGGGTTTTTCGCAGACTTGGCAGCGGTATCGGGGGTTCACGTGGAATTTTCGGTGAAAATTCAATTGTCCCAGCTGTGAGAATTTTCTGTTGCAGGTCTCGCAGGTGAATGGACGCTCTCCAGTGTGCACTGACATGTGACGTTTCAAGAGAGATGCATTCAAGAATTTATGACTGCACTCTGAGCATTCAACTTTATTGTTTTTTTTTGCTCTTGGAGGTGGTTTCGATGGTGGTGGAGCTGATTCTTCAGGACCAGATTGAATGCTGTCTTTGAGATCTCCATTGTCTGGTGTTTGGTTCTTTAGATTGACATTTTCTGATGAGAGGTCGATCCCTTGAGGCGCATCACTGCACTGCATGCAGTGCACCGATGCTGCATCCAAGTCGGGAAATAAACTGTTGCAGTGGAGACATTTGTATTCGTAAATCGTATTCTGAGATTCTGGTTTAAGGGGAATAGTCTGGTCCTGCTTGATCTCACTTGATGATGGAAGTAATGGCTGTGGAGAGCCAACTTCTTGATTTATTACACGTTCACTATCCGATGCTGATGAATCCCCAGTTTTTGTATTGATGAGACAGCTTTCGGAATTATTGCAACTTTCGCGAATTCGGGATAAGTTATAATGAGTTCTGAGGCATTTATCCCTGAAGTCGTAGAAACGTGAGATTTCTTGGTGGCAATCTTGACAGATTTTTGTAGAAAATGAATTATCAGGCTCAATCTGTAAATTCATCAATTCAAAAAAATCAATTATATTACTGAAATTTTTTATACGTTTGCCTGGTCTATACCAAGCTACTTTCATTTCTTTATCGATCGAGTCAAATCGCCCTTAACCTGGACGCTTTCGTTATGAACGCGGAAATACGTTCTTCTAGTAAGAAATTAACGTGCATTCTTATTTTTTATGCAATGAAAAAATTGAAATACATTTACCGGAAGAGATAAGCAGATCATGATCTTGGTAGAGAGCGAAGGTCCATCGCTGATGGAATTTGAAAATATTGATAATAAATTATCGTCGAAATCGCCGAGACACAGCCGACAACTATTATCAGTTCCACCCATCATTAACTACTCAATCCATTCGATTATCAATTAAAATACGGTTTATGTAATAAATTTCCTTCATAACAAAACGGTGAAGGTGTTGACAATATGGATATTGTTTTTATATGCCGCTGTACTCATGGCGCCATTGCTGCCGTAGCGAAGAGATTTTGAACTACTCCATTTTACTATAAGTATTGATTTTGAAAATCTTGTAAGAATCTGCATAAAAATTTTGTCAATTTTCCAGGAAGTCCTTCAGGTCGAGGGGTACTTTCTCGATTCAAGTTAAATAATTGCAAAAAATGTGCGATGGCCGGGAATCGAACCCGGATCAACTGCTTGGAAGGCAACTATGCTGACCATTACACCACCATCGCATTGTGTCATTGAATTGAAATCATGCTGCTGAGGAGATATCCACGAACAGTATCAAACCGAAATTTGGATTCGTGCTGGACTCAGAATCCGAGGTAAAAGCTCTGAGGATGCAGATTATAATGTTCACCGAACTACCGGAATACCGGTGCAATTGATTGGAATATCCCCACAAATCTATGGAGCCATTAAACGGGTCTTTGTCAACCTGAAGTTGATCCTCCCTTCTGAAACAAAAACCGAACTCCAGACAAACTCCACGACCTCTCAACCTCTCGAAATAACCTTTCCAAAGGAACATGAATATCATGACTTCATCCATCATCCTGACAATTGTCATTGCATCCTCTGCCAACGCGAGCATAAGAGTTACAGTGAGTAGAAGCCCCTCATCCCGACACATTCCACAATTAGAAAATAAAAAAAAAAGTTGACCACAATCTGGAAAAAAAATTGCCGAAAATTTCACAAAAAGCCCTTGGACTTGGCGCATTAAATACTCTCCCTCAAACCGCAAAAAAAAACTCCCCGGCGCTCACGGGACCGGTGGGTCGCATTATTCCAACGCATTAAAATACCGATATTTCGAAATCAAGCGGTTTTTTCGGTCGCAATTATCTACCATCGAAACCAAATAAACGCAAAAAAGCTGAAAGTTGGAAATAAATGAGAAAAAAAAAGATACATATACCCCCGTCGCTTTTGTGTCTCGGTCACGTTTCGCCAGGGCCTCTATCAGTCAAATTACACCCTGACAAGTCTGACACGTAAATTGCCCCACGGAGAGTAGTGTCTATACCGGGTATAACGAATCGGGGGCCCCTCCCGTCTCAGTGTACACCGCAGTCTCTGGTTTACCCCGTTTTTCGTATTATTATCCAAAAAATGTCTTCGACGTGTTAGTGATTACAATGAAACAAAATTCGCACCCGTAATTTGCACCGTATTTTTAATCCACTTTGTATTTTAATATTGCAGAATTCTGGTGTCAGGAGCATCGATAGATTGGATGTCGGAATGATCTTCTGTGAGTATTGAGACATTTTTCGATCTTTGCATGATATTCTAACACGTCGAACATTTGTTTGCCATTTTTACACATTTCAAATGTTGCAGTTAATTTGGACATTGTTCTGAGAAGCGTAATGTAACCTTTTCTGCGTTCTTTTTATGAGTTTCTGGAATTTGTTCCTGGAAGAGTCATAGTTCGAATACTCCAGCCTTCACTATTACGGCGGACGAGAAACTTTCGCGTTTCTGGCGCCATTAAGAAGCAATAGTATTCATTAATCTTTCAGTAGCTTCAATTGGTGTCCGATATATCCGAATTCTGCACCGATTAATCAAAATCCAACGACCTCCTTGACACAGACTCTTTAAAAACGCATCTAAAAATTCAGTGAGAGGGTTGGTCGGTTACCATCCGTCACGAGATCCACGACAATCACGAAGAAGCTTCGATCACGACGCACACGGAATACCCCGTGCAATGGCTATAACACGCAATCCGAGGTTGGCATCCCGCGCTACACCAGATTGTCGGTAACAACACTGAAACAGGCCAAACGCCAGTTTTGTTTCGTTCTTCAGCGTGCGCGAAGCCACTCTTAGGGTTAAAAATTCAATGAACTTGTCGAAAAGCCCGAAAAATTGCCACGTGCACCAAAGATCCGGTCAAACAGTGAAAAAATCCGGTGTCATCCACTTCTTCCGTCTGAAGGATCTGAAAGAATGGAGTTTTCGTAATGTGCAGTGTATTACCGTCAAGTTCTCGTAATCTGCGGTTATCACTGATTACCGTGGTAGCAAGCATAACTATCAGAGAGACTTTGATCTATGTCCGTTAGACGTAAAGTCAGTGCTCGTGTAAAAAGCACATACAGAGGTAACTCTGTCGATGCAATGACTTTCCCCTCGTGCAACGCTGAATTATATATTAATCCGAGTGTTCTTTCCGATTAGGGTAGTTGGGTTTGACGATACACGTTCTGTCTCTACACAGTTCTGTTCTAAAAGAAAGCACCAGTGATTACCCACTGTTGAATCGAACTTCGTTGTTGGGTAAACAGCTGCAGCTAATTAATATATAATCCACCGGCAACTTTTGCCGATAATCGTGGCAAATTCCTGAGATGATTTTCATCTCACTTACTCCTCTTCATTTTTTGTTACACACATTTTTCTGGTCTCCTTATACGTTTTACGAATGACAGCGGAGAGCAGGTGATGTTTAGGCTTCTGATGCGTCCGAGAGATTGTTGGGTTTTATATCGCAGTGTAATTATTGTCCAAACTGAGGGCCAAGCCCACGTGTGCGATGCACAAGTTGACGGACAGCAGAGTTTATCCTTCTATTTTTTTCTCCTTGCTCGGATCTCTCCCCTTTCTACTCAAGTGTTTTTCGAGAGCCAAACGGATTAGTCGCTTCCTGTCCCTCGCTCCTGAGAGACGAATGTCGTATTCTGGTCAACCTATTGAGAAATATTTACAGCATTCAACCATGGGTCTGCTATCCGTCGGGACAAATTGCCAAGTCGATGAAATACAAAATTACATCAATTTGTTTTGATACACGTATGACTCAATAGTAATTCAATCGATATGAATTGCAGTTGTCGAATTAGTGAACGAGGGGAAGCAGGAAGTTGCGGTTGCCAGTCGCATGATAGGCTGTTGCGAGATTGTAACTATTGATGATATTGAGTGCGAGGTGAGTGAAAGAATAGTCAGACAATCGATAAATACTCGAGGATAATCGATCAATGATTTTCAGCATATTCAGCTGATTGGTGACGTGGTGGCAGTTGAGGCTCAAGGGATCAGAAATGTGACCCTCATCTGGCCAACTTTAGTAAGCCCTCCTTATCTCGCACTCAAGGACGAATCTTGGATGATGAAAATTTGAAACAATTATGAGAATTGCTGCCCACTCTGGTGGCCTCGTGGGGGCCCCCCCTTGTTCCAAGGGGGTGGCAGTAGTCTGTCGCGTGGGAGTAATATAATAGTGGTCGTTATCGTGATCCTGATGGGGCGGAGCCGACATGAACCAACCAGCATACTCGCTCGGTGTATTTCTGCCACTACCATCGTGTGTTGTCCCCTTCCCCACCTCCTAAATCCCCCTCAAAACATATTATCACTAAACACTGCTGTACCCTCCCACCCCTCGGGGACCGCCGCTACATACCACCTCAGTTTCACATTTACACTTAAATTTCACTGTACGCTCGCAATCTTCAACTCACCAATACTGCGATAGCTTAGCTCGCCGCCATCATGATTTATGACTATTTTTTTTTTTTAGCTAAAACGCTTTCTCCCCACCGACAGTTTCCTTAAGGCCGTTTCGTCCGTCTTGATGATATCCATCCATGATAATTTTCCTGTTGCTAATTTTGGCATTTCGGGATGAGTTCGAATTAAGGTGTAGAGTATCAACGATTTGATGAGGGCTTCATCAATTTCTTCTTGATCAATTCGAAATCATTTAATGATGGACATTGGAAATCTTGTTATCGGCATTGTATCGTCTGCGCTGTTATAACGAGCCGGTTTTTTTTGCGTTTTATCTCTGTAATCACTATTGACGATCTACCTCGCAAATATCGTACTCTGCCCCAATGTTTTTCCTCTATCGTATTCTTCCCATGCTCTTGCCATCATTGTGATGCCAGGGAAGTACATAATTTCTCTTTAATTTTCATCATTATGTTCAATCTGATGGCAATCCTGGGGAGACGAGATGGTTTATCAATTATTATATTCTTTTTAGTATCTCCACGAGCGACGAGGTGAGTGTGCAGTTAGTCTCTCGTTTGGGAATGATGGTGACGAGGTTGAGGAAGTTAGGAGAAAAATTCATTTCAATACCATGGTGACGGGAAAAAATCCCAGTGTTCTTGCAGGTGATTTGATCTTTTAGGGAACGCTTCAGAGGGATTGACTGTTACTGAAATGTTTAGAATATTATGATGCTGTTGATGTAAGAGAATGTCAAAGTCCCGATCAAGATCCGTTGGACGCGTGTCATCCAGTGAACTGTCAAGTGAAGTACAATGGAAAACGGAGTTACTTCAATCGTGAACTACAGATGTGTCAATCCGTGCCAATATGCATCGCCGATGCCAACAAGGAACTCCCCGATTTGGTAAGTTGATGTACAATGCAGATTGATATTGTAGAAATTTTTTATGTAATGAGTTAATTTGTCCGCGGTGTGCTGAAACGATTAGTCTCAGTTCTCAAATACCGGAAGTGTCTTATAGGGTTATACAGTAGCTACTAATAGAGGATAGGTGCTAATGCGTAATGTTGTGAGAGTACGTCTTGGTTTTCTTTTCCGTGATATACGCAACTGGCATGCAATGTGGCGTGCGCCACTTTATCCAAGTGTATTACCGGTCCCACATAATAGTGAGGATCAGTCGTGCTCGCATCACGATTTATTCAATTTAATTTATGGTGATTTTTGCCTTCCACCTTGACATCGTTCTCATTATTTTCATCTCTGGTTACTTGCATATACCCGGCTCGTATCACTGATTATTATCCCCTTTGTTTTTTTTTTTGGATTTGGTCCTTTTGTGTTTCCACATTAGGGGAAAAATTGTTATCCCATCGAAATAAATAATCGGCTCGCGTGGCTGCATTTGTTTGAAATGTTGCCACGCGCAAACCACCGACTTCAGAAAACACTGAGTGAATATATAGGTATATTTAAAATGTTATACCTTTAATACAGCAGTGGCCACAGCGCTCAGCCACGAATGTACGTTACACTCTCATAATTTACGGCAGGCTAATGATGACGGATGGAAGGCTAGCAGCTTGGGCTGATAAAAGTTGGCAAGCTTTTGCGCTCCGGCTATCTAACAAATCCCATTCTACTTCTTTTCTTCTCTTTAAGACTAGGTAGCATAACGTGACAATTCATGGAACTTCTTATAGTATCAATTGTTCCAGGCGCATCAATGCTGACAACGAATTCTCTATTAAATGGTCTATCGTAATTGATCATTTGGGTCATCTGTTATTAATAACCCAACACTTGTCGGTATGAATAGAATTCAATGAATTTCGAGTTTTACGTTGACTCATCAGGTGTATGACGCCGTCAACAATTCTTGTCGTAATATGGAAACTTCAGTGACTCAAACTGAAATCCAATCGTTGAGTGGAGGGAGAATAGAAGTCTCTTGGCGATCGGAGCCAGCACCTAAAATTAGAGTTAGTTATTACTAATATGATTATGCGTTTCAGAATATGTCACGAAGGTTGATTAAAAATTTAGAATGCACTTTGTCATCATGGTTATAATGACAGACACACTGGACTGTGCATCTGCGATGAAGGATGGACGTCGCAACCTCTCGGCAACCTAGAGCCAATCAATGAGTACATACACATGTGCAATGTGGTTGTACTGCCTTTTCCTGGATTCGGAAACAGTCCCATCCACATCCTCGGTATTGTCGTATCCTTTGATTCACTGGTGATCATCTGGATTTTTGGCAAAAAATTAAAAGGTCCCACCGAGATTTGAACTCGGATCGCTGGATTCAAAGTCCAGAGTGCTAACCATTACACCATGGGACCATATTCGTATTAGTGACGAAAAAAAATCCGACAAAACTTTACGTTCTGTAATGAACGTGTGATGAATATTGAAGTTAATTGATTCTAATTTATTCAGGTGTATGGAATTTTCTGGCTCGAGGTATCGGGTTACATAGACGATAAGTTTAATCCGAGTGAATATTTTACTGATAAGTCTAGGTATGAAGCAATACATCTCCTTAACTCGGCAATTGACTACCAGATCGCAGCAGTTTTAATCGTGTTAATCGTGGCGTTCTATTGCATAACAACACTTTTGATGGGAGCATTACCTGAAAAACTAACGATAGAGCGATCACAGCAAACTGTCGGTCTGTCTTGCTTCGATGGCTCGTCAAAGAGTTTGACGTCCTGCTGCTCCACAAGACCAGCACCAAGGAAACGAGGCAGTAATGCCTCAAACATAAAATACTCTAAACTTTCAAATCGTTCCCTGCATTCCATGAAACCATAAACCGAATGAGAATTATCTTGTTGATCGGATGGATACCCAGACTGGTAAAAAGGTGTAAAAAAATTGATTGCCGAAACCCGGGATCGAACCGGGGACATTTAGATCTTCAGTCTAACGCTCTCCCAGCTGAGCTATTTCGGCATTACATTATGTTATAAAATGTTTATTAAGTCTTTCTTTTTACAATATATGTACAGTATCTACATATTCTTTTAGTACATGATGTTTGATAAGACCAGGCCACCAGCCGCTAGGCTTTTATATCTAAGTTTACATGAGTGGTTTGAATTAACTAACAGTTAACATTATGTGTATGGGTGTATGGGAAAAGATTTACAATAGGGAAAATGTTTGTAGAAAAAAAACCCTATAAGTTGCGGGTGGTTGAAGGGGCAAGAAAGGAAAATGAGAGTAGAAAAAAAAATCGCTATTTTGACCACAACGATCTTAGATTAACGATGATAATATCTGTCTTATTGGGCAGTACTGCTTGAGAGGATTGAAAAAAAAAATTGCCGAAACCCGGGATCGAACCGGGGACATTTAGATCTTCAGTCTAACGCTCTCCCAGCTGAGCTATTTCGGCGAATATATGTTCTACAGATGATAATGTCTAACTATTGGTCAGTATTGCTTGAGAGGATTGAAAAAAAAAATTGCCGAAACCCGGGATCGAACCGGGGACATTTAGATCTTCAGTCTAACGCTCTCCCAGCTGAGCTATTTCGGCGATGCTATAGAAGCACGGAATGCTGTTCAAGTGGTGAGAAAGCTATGTTTCAAGATAAAGTCAGGAATCGCGGCTAATTTTTTTAGAAAATCTCTGGGGCTCTCTGGTAGGAGACGAGGAGTGGGTCAAGCTTGACCCAATGCCGGGCCAGCCATGGGCCAATCCCGGGTCATTTCTCATGTGTGACAAATTCTATTCTAAGTAATTATTGATGAGTTACTACTACCATTTCGTTATTAATCGAATGAAAAAAATTAGCGGAAGAATCGCATTACAGAATATGGAAAAGGGTGGAGGTGAGAGGTGAGGGCAAAACGACGATTGTATTGCGTCGTTTATTTCAAACTTCCTGCTGGTACCTGGTTGGCTGGGAGCTTTCGCATCCACCCGGGTCTGAAACTGCAATTAAAGTAATTGGCCTCATTGTGCTGTCCGGAGCGAAAGCTAGTGAATGGGCACTGTCAGCCAGCCTCAGCCCGAAACAGAAATGTGCACCTATCCTATGGTCCGTGGTGCAGTGCTTCTCACAACAAACATTCTTCCCTTTTATTGCCCTCTTTACATTTTTCTGAAATGAGGAACTCCTTCAGGCACTCCACTGTCCTGGACGCTCCATCATTTCGTCCGTGGGAGTTGTTCTAGTCAAACTCGCTTCGCCGTTTTTTTTACTGTGCAGAAAAAAAGTGCAAGTTCACGATTTCGGGGTTTTCCCCGGGTTCAAAATTCAATGTTTCAACGTTTTTTTTATATGAAGAAGATAGTTCGACGTAATTATAATCCATTTGGAGAACGTTTTAGGGAATGCTTCCTGGATTTGTTGATTATTAATGATTTTAGCGTGATTGCAAGGCATTTGAGAATCCGTTTAATAGCCCATTTTTATATTCCCATCAATATTCATTATCTGTGGTTGGTAAAACGCGATGATTTCTTGGGTAAATAAGTTGTACTTCTACCGGTTGTTGTGTTAACATAATTTCCACGCAGTTTTGATAGTCAACGAGTGGAGCGACCGCATTAATAATTGAGATGTAAGGCCCAATTAAATACAAACGACTACACTTTCGTGATTAATAGCAGCTTGAATTCCATCCAGTGGTATCATAAACATTGCCATAAAGGAAGACATTCGTGGTACACTAACTTGACTTGTTTCCAATCAGTCGAGCGATTTTTATGAAAAACAACGCGTTAATATTTTTATTTTCTCATTATGAAAGTAATAGATGAGAAATGATCAAATTAGAATTTTCATATATCAACCCCACACCTGTGATGCACTAATTGTCCTGCAGCTGGGATAATGAGACATAATTATTCGCGAAATTCCACGGGAGTTAATGATCCGTCGGGGCTTGTAGCCCGTCTCAGGCAGATGTTGCCGTTGATTCCGGGTGGCCAAATAATGTCAAAGACATTATGACTTCCCTCTTTTACAACCTCTCAAAAAAATCTAGAAAAACTAAAAAAAATCGCTTGATAGCGATCGGTCGTCGAAGATCTGAAAGTCTGAACAGTATCCTGTGAAACCCGTCAATGCCTCCCGCAAATGATGAATCGCAGTATAAAGATAACTCATTTATTCCACACTTAAAACGCAATTTACACCATATCGTTTGCACGTGTAATGAGTATTACACCCATTAAAATTCATGAGTTTTAGCTGATAATTACAAATGAAACAAAAAAAAAATAAATTCCTTCGAGCCGGATTTGAACCAGCGACCTATGGATGTCCACTTTGAATCAAACCAACTACAGTCCACCGCTCTACCAACTGAGCTATCGAAGGGAACTATATACGGTAAGAAAAATAAATCATTCATACTCTCTCTCTGATTTTACTAACCACAGAAGCATGAAATTATCCCTGGTGCAATTAAAAGAGAAAAATTCACAATTACCATAATGAGGTTGTGTGTGGAAGAAATCAAATACAGAACTTTCAACGCCCATTGATAATTTTTCAAGTAATTAAAAAGGCGGAATACCGTTCCTCACGAATTCCTCCAACGACAGCCACAACTCAACATCGGCGCCAGAATCATGTACACTTGTTTTGCATGAGAAAAATGATAATGCTGAATTAATTACGACTCATCATTCACTCCATCTCTTGCGCTTCAATGCAAAACCGGAAGTTGTGCCTACCACCGATTATCATGCCTTGTAATTCTTAATTATTTATTCCAAAACCGTAAGAACGACGAAGGAAGCGTGGCGATTTTCCATCGCAGATATTTTTTATTGCAGCTTCTTCACTCCATTTGCATAATTTATATTTAATCTTCAATGCTGAAGTGTAAAAAATTCGGGATCACAAAGTACTCGGCACTGTAAAATCTAATGAGACTCTTGAAACCTGTAAATATAATAGTGATCCCCGGATTTTGCACGCTCTTTATTCTGACGGCACGAAAATATAGAAAAAATCCATTATATCCTCTTCATAACGAGGAATTTCGTCACGAGAGGTATATTACACTTTTTCATTTGAATTGACACTTACACTGGCTTCCACATTACCCGGAGTACATTTGGGATAATTTATTTTGCCCAGTGTGAGCTACAGCTCTCAGCGGGTAGTTACAGCACGTGAAATCAGCAAGAGCCATCCATGCAATTATCAACTCAATCCGGTACATATGGTATGAGAGTTATTAAGGGCACATATTAGCTGTACCTAGTTGTATGCCGGAAAGTTCGGTCAAACAGTTTCCAAACAGGGGCATCGAAAGGTTCTTAGTTCATACGTTGGAGAGTTTATCGTCAAAGTTTCTCTCGGTGCCTGACAGTTTGATCGCTACGGTAATTATATCCCGGTTTATATGCATTTATGTTTTCTGATGGGATAAATAAAGTACGAACATTTTCACTCAATGTGATTTTTTTTTTCTCTCAACCTCCCATTGGAATCAAGTTTCTCAACATGTGAAAAGTTGATTATCGTGACGTGAGAATATTTCAGTCGATTGAAATAATTATTTAACAGAATGATGGGTGATGCGGTGAATTTTTGTTATTAATTTTCACGTCCGATTGTGTCATTTTTACCGATCACATTAGAATTCAAGGGAGTTGACGAGCCATGCAGGTAAATTTGCTATCACACACCGACTATCTCACCGAGCGTTTATGTCGTCTGAAATGCATTCGTAGTGGGCGTATAACCGGTTATTAAAATAACGATAGGATCAAATGTGACCTAGCGCACTGGTCGGCTATCCCCGGGTGTTTTTCCCTTTCCTTTCGCTTCTCATTTTCTCATATTCATTATTTTTCTCCCTTTTTCGAACTATTCCAGTGATACATAGGCCTCTATGCGTGAAGTAATCGGGAGAGAGAGGGAGAGAGAGAGAGAGATATCAAAATGAAGGAAAAGAGAGGATTCACCGGAAGCCACGGAATACCGGGGAATCATCGGTCGTTGCAATTGTTTCTCCCCCTTTTTATTTTCACTCTCGTTATTAGATGATCAATTTAGCATTTAATTAAAGTATTTGAATGTTTCGTTTTTTTTTGCAGGGGCTCTGATTGCGATTGAATTAAATCGCGTTTTGTTTGGGGGGGAATTAAGGGGGTGGCACCGTCATAATTCCCGCCCTTTTTCCCCACTTCCGGCATGGGTTTTGCTGGACTTTTGTGGGTTAAAAGAGTGGGGAGAGATTTCCGGGGTTGTACCGTCTGAAAAGTCTCCAGTATTCCCATTTTTCGAGGTTCTTTCACTTGATATTCTTTATTGTACTCATTACTCTTATTTTCAACCACAAAAATTGACAGGAACGTCCATCACAGCGCTGACGATGCAAAATATATACATACGTAAATATGTACTTCGATCGACTTCGTTTGAACATCCTTTGTGCAAACAGGCAATTTAACATCAATGGCATATTCTCCCATTTCCAGGTTTTTTTTTTTTGTAAATACTCTTTTTATTTATTCATTTTCTCGCGGTATGGATTTATATACCCTCTGTGTATCGCATTTGGTGACACATTCAAAGCATATCTCTTGGAAATAATGCACGCTCGGTTGTATAGGCAGAACAATCCATCAGTGCGATCGCGTATATAATGCTCAGCTATCTCGCATTGTCATAAAATATTTCATGCTTTCACAACTAAATTATGAGAGTCTAGCTGTACACGATTTGTGCTAATTTAGGATGTGAAATGAGCTCTTGAACAGGTAACAGGTGCTCTTTGCAGATTCGGAATAGATAAATTGGTGCCAGATTACAACCCAAGGAATTTGTGTTTCATCATTTTACTCATTTCCGGGGAATAATCCAACTAAAATTCACAGTTTCCATTGATTTTTTTTCAGAATCATTATTCCAAACGAGTGTATTTATTCATGTGAGTGGAGCTAGAGAGGATACACCAGGAAAAATTTGCATGTC